CACCGGGGTTTTCCCTTTTCTCAGGGGACGAAGTAGTCAAACTGATCTTGAAAGTTTCTCTAGGAAAGTAAATGTGTAAGAATAATCAAGAAAATTTTGAAAATAAATGGAGTCTTGCCTTACCTAGTCAAAACAACTGTAAATGTGACACTGAAAGAAAACACGTCAATTAACAAGAGAACAGAGAAAATGTTTGTATTTAGTATATGAGTTATTTTAAATTAGTAGTGACGGGGTACATTGTTCAATAAAGAGATTGGGACATCTAATTTCCATTTAAGTTTGTTCTTTCTTTTATTCTAGGACTTAGTAATTTCCTCCTTTGTGAACATGGATTCCCAAATTTCAAGGGCCCATTTCCTGTAAAATAATGCGTTATTGCAGTTAAAGTCTTTTTTTTTTTTTTCTTTTTGAGACGGAGTCTCGCTCTGTCGCCCAGGCTGGAGTGCAGTGGCGCGATCTCGGCTCACTGCAAGCTCTGCCTCCCGGGTTCAAGCCATTCTCCTGCCTCAGCCTCCAGGGTAGCTGGGACTGCAGGTGCCTGCCACCACGCCTGGCTAATTTTTTTTATTTTTAGTAGAGACGGGGTTTCACCGTGTTAGCTAGGATGGTCTTGATCTCCTGGGCTCGTGATCCACCCGCCTCGGCCTCCCAAAGTGCTGGGATTACAGATGTGAGCTACCGCGCCCAGTCTATTGCAGTTAAAGTCTTAAGATTTATCCACACAGGTGATAGATGAAGGCATGCGAGTGGACTAGATCATTAAAGAAGGATACTAAGAGGTCTGTGATTGAAATATTGGGAAACACCTACATCCAGGATGCAGATGAAGGAAAGGGGACCCAAGGTGGATTGCGATATGACAATGTCAATGACAAACTTTCATTTTTTTAAAACACTAAATCCAAGGGAGGCAAATGTTTAGAGAAAAGTCAAATGAAGAGGGATTAAGATAACTGCAGACTTGAAAGAGCTGAATAGGTTTGACAAATCGGGTGAGAGCAGCTTTCCTGAAGAAAGAATTTTCCTACTTCGAAGATTCAGCCAGGTTCAGTTAGGAGACAGCAGGCACTGACTAACAAAGAAGCTGTGCTATATAAGAAGAGAGAGGCCAGGCGCAGTGGCTTACACTTATAATCCCAGCACTTTGGGAGGTTGAGGTAGAAGGATTGCTTGAGCCCAGGAGTTTGAGACCAGCCTGCACAACATGGTGAGAAACCATCACTGCAGAAAATTTACAAATTAGCTAGGCGTGGTGGTGTGCACCTTTGGTCCTGGCTACTCAGGAGGGTGAGGCAGGAGGACTGTTTGAGCCCAAGAGATCAAGACTACGGTGAGCACCACTGCACTCCAGCCTAGGTGACAGAGCAAGACCCTGTCTCAAAACAAAACAAAACAAAACAAAACAAAAAAAGAACTCCAGCATGAACAGGAAAAAACTGGGGAAAAACTTCCAGAATCAACTGAACTAATTTTGAACTTGCTACTGAGCTGTGTTATATTCCACTACCTGCCAGACACTGAGCAAGATGTCATCAGTTTTCACAACAAAGGTACAAGGTCTTGTTTTCTTCATTTCACAGATGAGGATGTTTAAGCCAACATGATGACAGACCATCTACTAACTAGTTTGGGCAAGTTATTTAACTTGTCTAAGGCAGTTTTCTTACATGAAGATAATGCTACCTACCTCTAATTGTTCTGAAGATTAAATGCTTATAAATATACATGTATGTATATATGTACATCCAGAAACATACTAACAGTGTAGCATTTAGTAGGAGCTTAATAAATATCTCTGGTACCATCCAAGCAAGAAAAAGAATTCCTAAGATATGGTGATGGCAGTATAACTAAGTTCAGAATTTCTTTTATGTATACATAGCTTTATTTTGAGCAGTCATCTTTGATGTACAGGTTTCTTCTCTTCCTCTTTTGAAGGTACTGGATGTAAGCAGAGAAGGCAAAGAAGAAGTATTCTATGGACCTACACTCCCTTTTGCTTCCAATGGAATAGCAGCATGCTTCCTTCCAGCTCCATATTTCACATGCCCTAACCTTCAAACTCTTCAAGTGCCTCATCACAGGATTGGCACCATCTGAAAAGCCAATGCCATCATGAACAGGAGGAAAACATAGCCCTGACTGTTGGATTCTGGGCATGAAAACACTCAGTGCTCAATGCTTCCTTGTCTTGCTTTATAGGTCTTGTATTCTGATAAATTTAAGCAAAAAATGAACAGTTTTCTAAAATACATTATTAAAAACTCTTGTCACCCTTCTCAGTGTATGTCAACATGCAATATGTATGACTTTTATTGTGATATAGCTTAGTGCCAACTTAAGGTACATTGTGTCCAAAGGGTCTTTAGAGCATTCTTTGTACACTTTTTCTAATCAGCACTGTCTTAAGACAACATAACACTGTTAGTAAGGCAATTTATTGGACAAAATGGCATTGATGATCTTAAAAAATATATATTCTGTACTTAATCCCTTTATTATTTAAAGCTGGGCTTGTAATTTTTCTTTTTAAAATTTAACATTAAGCAGCCCTGCTCACTAGAGACTCAGCATTATGACATCATAAATTTTTAAATACCATATTTTATTCAAGGTGATACGAATAATAGACATACACTGGAACAGCAGTTGAAACACCCAGATTTTTCACCTTGGTTACTCTGACCTTGGGTCAGAACCTAACTTTACAATGCTTCAGTTTTCCCACCTTTTAAGGAGGATAATTACTGATTTCCATGTTAATTTAAAAGAACATTATGAGGATTAGGCAAACATTTTGAAACACTTTGCCCAAGAAAAAGAAAAATGTTACTGAAATTACAAGGTATTTTACTGTCTTTAGAACCTTGTAAATGAACAGGGAGATTTTTGAAATTTAAAAATTACTAGATAGAATTTGGAAACATGTTATGGAATAAATGATTCTAAAAAGCATGTGAAAGAGACACACAATTAGGAAATAGGGAGTTTATTAAAATCAAAGATATCTAAACTTGTACAGATACCTAAACTTGCCTCAAGTAACTCTCAGATGTCTCATTTAAAATCATTTAGTGAAAAATGACATTTAAAGCTAAAAAATAATTTAGTTGTACTAATTATGGTACCATAAAGTGCTTTGACATAAATTTGAACCTAGAATTGGCAGTTCTAATAAAAGTTTTTCCACTTTGTTAAAGGTTATGTCAATCTTGAGTGCTTGTGGGATTCTTCTCCACCACCAATACATATTTTATTACTATCACTTTTAATAATGCATAGGAATTCTTTTTTAGGCTAGTTTTTGAGTTTGCTTTGTCTATAACAAAAAATAAATACAACAACTTAATAATCACATTTGAAAATAAATTTAACAAGTATAATGTGAGTTTTTCTTTTTTCCTAACTTCCTCAGAACCTAGGTCACCTTTATTAAAAGGAAGAATTCACTCTTTTTTCCTTGACAGTTTAATCATTCAGCAATCCCTCTCTTAAAGGAAATTATTTTATTCATGTAACCATTTTTTGTAATCAAAAGTGAATAAAAACGATCTTTTTGTCTCACATACAGAATTCACTAACTTCATATATCATTATACATAAAACATAGAAATAAATATATGGTTTCTGGTTATTCAGATTTAAAGGGCAGGAAGGAGACTAGGGAGAAGGAAAACAGGTAAATTTTTAAAAGAATAGGAATTTAGTATAGACTAAATTCCTTAGTATACTTAGTATATTTCCTTTAGTATAGACAAACCACTGTTGAGGACAGTTCTCAACAGTGAAAACTGATATTGACGATTGATATTTAGAATGAAGACAGCTTCTTTAAATGGTTTAAGCCATCTAAACTAAATTTTTAAAATGCCTTACCAAGGCAGGAAAATGAACTCCAGTATTTCAGAAATCTTTTCAACAGGGACTTAAGTATTCAGCTATATTAATTTTTCTACTTGGGACATGAATTTTCTCTCTAGCAGTTTTACCTAGTAAAACTATTAAAATCTATTTGTATTCCCAGGCCCTACATCCAATCAATGAAAGGGAAAGCTCTAAAAACAAGCTTACCTAACTAATGGAAAGGTAGCCTGAGACTACCCTCATTTCTGTATATATTTTTAACAATTCATATAAAACAAAGCAGCATATATTATCAAACCTCTCCTAAGTGATCTTTATAATGTAATATTCACTAATATTACAGAACTGAACTCAGAATTTTAAAGTTTTACCAGGTTCGGACACATCCTTTATAGCTATAGCCAAGAGTAGTACAAAAACATAACATCTCTTCCCTAAAAGGGAAAAAACCTAGATAAGTTATAATTAGATCCTTTTATTCAAGGTTATCAATAATAGAATTCTATTAAACTATGTCTGGTCATATGAGCCAAATTTCACTGAAACTATTCAAATATACATTTTCGATTTAAGTGAACTACCCTATAGTAATTCATCTTTCATCTTCCATTTCCATTTTTATTCTTCAAAATTAAAGGTTATATTGTATTTGTAATGTAAATTATTATACTAATGTGAATTTCTATAGGAAGGTCATGAGACTTGCAAACATTTAAATATCACTTCAGGATTTTACTTTAAAAGAGAAAACAAAATACAGTACCACACAGATGATAACAGATATTCTTGGTGTTAAAGGAAAAGCCAGCAAAGATGGGAATTTCTAAAATCATCTGTACAATGCAATAACACTTCTTAGATCCTTAATAACAAAATAGCAATTAGGTAATGATTAGGGTATTTTTCATACTTTTTCCTTCATATTTTCTTCACACTTTAACCACATGTACATCAAACTCTTTCAGCTACCACGACATCTGAAAACCTAACTTTCTATAGTTTTACCACAAATATAAAAACATCAGTAATAAGATAGAAATTATTCCTTCTGGTAACATGGCTCATTTTTACTTTAGCTTCCAAATAATAAATCTGTTATAAAAAGGAAGTTTTCAATAATCAAGGGCACAATGTAAGTTAAATATATACTTTTATTACTATATATAAATTTTTATCATATGCACAAATAACTCATAAATATATATATAAAATTAAAATGTCCACAATTTTTCTAGAAGCACAATTCACAAATGCAATGAATTGGACGCCATCGGCACAACAAAAATTTTAATAAGTATAAACTGGTCAATTCCAACCATTTGATAATTTACAATGCAGGTTATCACACTATCAAAATACACATATCTTATTAAATTTGTGAAGAATATGCTACATTGCTAGCTTCCCAAACCAACTGTTTCTAACCAAATAAAGCATATTATTTATATTGGCATACTATACTCTTGCCTGACAAGGCAATATTTTTAACTCTAAGAGGGGTAGGCAAAAGATCAGTTTTTTGGAAAATATAAGATTTATATAAAAAGTCTGGATAAAAAAGCAGTGGTTTAGTACAGATGATTCAACTTTTGGTGAGGTTTCTGTATCTATTTACCTTTCAGACATGGGGAGACATGAGTGGTATGATAACATGTACGGTTTGGGGAAGGCAGATTTCTAAAGGCTTTTCCCGACTGTAGAAGCTTGTCAAATTTTTATATAACACATAATTTTAGCTGTCAAAGATTCTGTGAAAGTACATGGAAACAAGTCCATGTAATTATTTAAGAACAAGGTAGTTTAAAAATTTGTTGTAAAGCATGGAAGAAAATAATAATAGGTAATGAAAACCCACAAACATCTGACTCACAAATATTATATAGATGCTGAGGTAGAAAAAGGCGAATATGCTTAAGAAGAAAACATACGAAGGACAGGTATAGATATACAAGTTTTAAACTATGAAATTCTTCTAATGCAAATGAACTCAATACTGAATGACTTTTCCACAATCCTCCGTGCTTCCTTCCTCGCCATGGAAACGTTCTAATTAAATTGAAATTTAAATCATAACCAAATCCAAATGCCTAATAAAGTCCTTTCATCACTGTTGTCCTTCAGTCGTCTTTTATACTCTATCTGGTATTGTATAGATATTATTTGACTGGAATACTCATGTCTCCAAATGTGTATTTTAATTTTCTTCCTATTTAAGTGTCTTCAATTTCTATAGGAAACAGGTCCTATACAGTTTCCACACTGTAAACTGAATGAGGCTGAGTGTAGGATGAACATGGCAATCAGAGAAAACTACTAAACGAGCCTCTTGTTTGGAAAGAGATAAGCTTGAAGATAAAAGGTACAATCAGATAGGTAGCAGAAAGTCTCCAGACTGAAGGGTTTGAACATCACCTTATAAACAATGGGCAGTTATTGGAAGTCCTTGAGCAGAAAAGTAACAAGAGGAAAACAGTATTTTAGGAATACACATTTCAGAACATAAGGTGTAGGAGAGGAAACCAGAGGTAAGGAAATAAGTAGTGCCCAACAGAAAAAACAAACATCAAACCAGTGGATGCAAGGCATTGCAAAAAGAAAAAAAGAAGTCTAAGAGCCCGTAACGGTAATCAACTGAAAGTGGGAGAAAAACGAAGAACCTAAAATGCCTCTGACATTTCAAGGCTAAATAACTTGGGACAACAGTGTATTCCCTGGGTAGAAAATCAAAGCAGGAGGTAGTCTGAAATAGGAAGTGACATGGGTAGCTTGACATGTTGCCTTGAGATTTCAGGAGACTCCAACTACAGAGGTTTAGAGATAAATTAGCACTAGAAAGAGATTTAAGAGATAAAAGGTGGAGCTATCAGTTCACCACTAACAGAATGTTGAGACAAAGCAGATGAAGGGGTCATATCTTACAACTGGGGACAGGGAAGAAGACCATGAAGGTGCTCTCAAGATACAGTGGTCATTTCTTGATATGTCTGGGGATTGGTTCCAGGATCCCCTGTGCATACCAAAATCTGCACATACTCAAGTCCCGCAATTGGCCCTGAGGAACCTGCCTATACCAAAAGTTAGTCCTCCATATACTCAGATTTTGCATCCCACAAATACTGTATTTTAGATCCACATATAAGTGGACCCGCACAGTTCGAACTTGTGTCGTTCAAGGGTCAACTGTATATGTAGGAGGGAGCAACATCATTGTGGAACTGATGGGAAGATAAAAGACAATTGTCACAGAAAGAACAAAGAACATGAGAAAGGAGAACAAATTCAGATTTGACCAAAAAAGAATGGCTTATATTACACTGGTAGAAGAAGTAGCCTCCGAAATTACAGGGTATTTAGGGAAAAGTGGCTATTAAAGAAGCAGGTATAAGGGACTCCAAGTCTGGGAATGGAAGAAGGCAAGATTGTAGTAGTAAGTGAAAGATCAGTGAAGATTTTTTAAAAAAGGAAATGAGCCATAAATTTTCTTCTTTCGTCAATTAAAAAAAAAAGCTTTAAAAAAATTTTACTTATACATAAATACAAAACATATAATACACATACATATTGTTACAGACTTTGTTGTTACCATTTTTAAGTACAAATTTTAGTTATTCTTAGTATCTACAGATATATGTCCTAAAGCATGATTCAGTAGCAGATTTTCCTATCCTTTAAATGTTTCATACTCTAAGGAGCAAGATTCTCAAATATATCTTTAATCAATCTCCTTTTGAAAAAAAAAAAAACACATATATACACACACACACATATACACATAAATAACCTCTTTAAAGGCATCACCTTAAATAGATAAAACTCCTCAGTAACTGCTGGAACTTGCCAAGCCATACATTATTTGTTTAGTAAGTCACTATCATGATGAAAAGAAATTCAGTGTTATGAAGTCTATTAAGCAGCCTTAAGCTTTCGTTTATTCCATTTGATGAAGTTGAGTTGAGAGAAAGACCATTTATATGTTATGAAAATAACAGACACTCCTTTGGATTTCACAGATTACAATTAAGAGAGAGCTATTAACTATAGAATGCTGATTGCAAAGTATTTCTTTTTTAAAGATACTCTTTGAGCCACAGAAGGGTTGAAATGTTTTCTTGAAGGAAGAGTAGAACCACGATAAAGACTATAATCCCAAGAAGGAAACAAATTACTTCAAAGTTAGAAAATATGATGTAAGAAAACATTGGAAAGTGGGATCATTCATCTGGGACATATCATTAGAGAAAGATAAAATTGAGAGGTGTTCTTTGCCTTAATTATGCATGAGTAATAAACTAATCATGTCTGTACATTTCCTAACAGAATATGGGCCACCAAATGTTTTCACATTTATCCCATTGATTCTCACAATAACACTGTCAAATAGTAAAGGGATTCTTCTTTTCTTCTCCATGAAGAAACTAGACTGAGAAAGGTTATGTAACTAGCTCAAGATCATAAAGCAAAGCTGAGTTTGAGACCCAGGTGGGTTCCCAAAACTAGGACTGGAGTTCTTTCAACCAAATAATGATCGCTATGAAAAGGAGTCAAGGACAAGAGCCAACTGGTAAAACAATCTGGATGAGGTAAGAGTTCAAAAGTTGAGAAACAATGTTGTTAAAGGAAACTAAACAGGTTTCTTGGATAAAATGCTGTTATAAGAAGCTCTGGCTAAAGAGCAAGAAGATAGATCAGCTGACTTCTCAGACCACTACTATTACTACTTTTCTAGAATATTTTTATTTTTCTCCTCTTAAAGTCTCCTTTATTTCCTCCTCCTGATATGATTTTTTAAAATGACAACTTCAAAAGAAATCATGAATAAAGAAAAAATTTGGCAACTCTTGGAACCTAAATATAAACCCTGTTGGCATGTTTACACTCTTTTTGGATATCAGCTGTATAATCCTTTAGCCAGATTCAGTCTCATTCCTAACACAGTTAAGTGTGCTTTGTAAGGGTTTTATTTATTAACTTGCCTCACACATATAAAAAAGAAAAACAAATACACAGTCATATTTCCTAACACCTTTCCCCCACCAAAAAAACAGTATAGGGTAGCCAGTATAATGTATTATTGAAAAAGTATCATTTTAAAACATAACTATTATTGTAAAAATAAAAAATAAACATGACAAATCAGTCACAAGGCAGAGAGGTAGGAAGTCATACTACAACAAAAGTCCATGGATGAAGTATCTGCTTAAGTATCTGCTTAATACTCATACACAGAAAACACTCCCAGTTAGAAAAAGTTTCTTTAATTTAGTTTAAAATTTCATCAAGGTAGAATGCAGTTTTGCAAAGTTCCAAGGATTCTATTACATAGTTGCTAATTAACCTTTAGTTCCTTATTTATACATTTTTTTTTTTTACTTACAGATATAAAAGGGAAAAAATCCTAGAAATTATTTTAAACAGAACATTATACAATTAATTAAAAGTAGGAATTGGAGTGGAACAATGTGGCTTTAGATACTGATAATCAATAGACAGGATGAATCACAAAATATATTAAGTATTATCATTTTCCAGTCTCTGCATCTCATCTTGTCCCACCTGTCCAAGGTGAGACAAAAGTTTGCTATATGCTTCCCTGTTTAAAAAAAAGAAAAGAAAGCAAATATATTTATTACCATTTTCATTCTTTTTCATTTAAGTATTTACAAATTAAGTCTGGCTGTCCATCATCCATCCATCTATCCAGCCATCTGTCCAGCAGGCTTAGCACAACACTTCTTAAAAAGTAATGTTTTATATCTATTGTGAGTAAACCTAGAGGTTAAGATGTATTGAGTTTAAGCGTGATTTTTATATATAAAATGTGTGCTAAAAAAACATGTAAAAGTTCACTAACCTTCTGAAATATTATAATGCTCACAGGTAATAAAATACGTTCATGGAATATTATTTAAGGACAATGATGGTATGATTACAATGGGAAGACTTGTATCACAAACCTAAGTATTAAAACAAAAATTCTGTAACCATAAAATCGACCTGTGTAGCAATTTCAGTATGTATCCCATTTTTTTCTTTTAACCTCTTATAGGTAACGACGTTTGAAAATAAAATACTCTCTCTCCTCCTACATTCTCTAGTATGTAGAGAATGTAACTGGGAGGTGTTTTAGATGATTTACTGTGCCTAGCAGTTATCTCACTAGTCTAAATACCTGTTCTATTCAGAACCTTTAAAACCAGCCTCCTTATGGGCCTGCACAACCACACAAGGTAGTAGGCCTGAATATTTGTTTTAACAACATACTGCATTAGGGTGGTTCACACATAGCCTCTCCAGTTTTTTCATTCAAATCTGAAGACTGCTCAGAGAAGTCAGATGTGAGACATGTCTGTGCATGAGCTTGTTTTGTGACATGACAATAAACACCACTTCTTCAAACTACAATTTGAAGTGATTCAATCTTCTCTCTCTAGAAAACCATAGGAGGCTAACCAAGTCCCTATGCAGAAGAAAGGAGATGTTCCATTCTGGCATACAAAAGCTTTACAAGGATGATCTCTCCAGTCTGCCCCCCCGCCCCCGTGCCTTTTATATGGTTTTCATTTACTGTACTGAAAAACTGGATTCCATTAGTTCGCTAAAGCTATAGTCAATATAGTCATGTCTCCAAGAAAGATCTCATATATGACATTGTTTAATAAAAAATTTTCATCTAAAAATTGGAATATGCATATTCATTAGACTGTGTATTTGTATAGATACATATACACAGACACATGCATATGATTATAGTCATGCACTGCATTAGCAACATTTTGGTAAATGATGGGCTGCATTCTGGTCAATGATGGGTCCCATTAAGATTATAATGGTACTAAAAAATTCCTAATGCCTGGTGATGCTGTAGCCATTGTAATGTCTTAGTGTAATGCCTTTCTCATGTGTTTGTGGTGATGCAGGTGTGAACAAACCTACTGTACTGTCAGTCATATAAAAGTCTAGCACACACAATTGTACACAGTATATAATACTTGATAATAAGAAACAATCATGTTACTGGTTTAGTTTCTGTATTTACTATACTTTACTTTTTATTGTTATTTTAGAGTGTACTCTTCTTTATACTTATAAAAATAAAAGATAACCGTAAAACAGACTCAGGCAGGTCCTTCAGGAGGTATTCCAGAAGAAGGCCTCCTTAAAAGGAGATGACAGCTCCATGTGTGTTACTGGTCCTGAAGACCTTCCAGTGAAATAAGATGTAGAGGTGGAAGACAGTGATGTTGATCATACTGACCCTGTGTAGGCTCAGGCTAATGCGTGTGTGTCTTCATTTTTTACAAAATAGTTTAAAAATAAAAAATAATTTAAAAATAGAAAAAAGGCATTCAAGAATATAAAGAAAGAAAATATTTTTGTACAGCTATACAACGTGTATGTTAAGCTAAGTATTTTTACAAGAGTAAAAAAGTTAAAGAAAAAGTTTAAAAGGTAAAAAAGAGTAAGCTAAGGTTAATGTATTATTGAAAAATTAAAAATTTTAAAAATAACTTTAATGTACTCTAAGTGTATTGTTTATAAAGTCTACTACAATAATGTACAGTAATGACCTAGGCCTTCACATTTACCACCGCTCACTCACCGACTCACCCAGAGCAACTACCAGTCCTGCAAGCTCCACTCACTGTTAAGTGCCCTATATAGGTGTATCACTTTAAAATCTTTGCTACCATATAATTACTGTACCTTTTCTACCTTTTCATATATTTAGATACACAAATACTTACCATCATGTGACAACTGTCTGTAGTATTTAGTACAGTAACATGTTATACAAGTTGGTAGCCTAGGAGCAATAGGCCACACCACATCGCCTAGGTGTGTGGTAGGCTATTCCATCTAGGTTTGTGTAAATATACTCTATTTGATGTTCACAAATGATGAAATTGCCTAACTACACATTTCTTAGAACCTATCCCTGTCATTAAGCAACACATAACTGTATTTTGATTCTTTAATAACCTTTAGGACATAAAAATTCCACTGTGAGTACTGACTACTCTAAAACAATTTCTTTAAGAAATAAATATAGGCTTATTCCCACAATGTTGAGACTCTAAATAGTCCAGCACTATTTTCAGTTGAGTTATGAGCCTATAAAAAAAAGTCTTATTTCCTATTTTTGACCAAAACCTATATTGTCTAACAGGGTCACTTATTCACTAGACATATGATACAGCTGACTAAATAAATCAAGCATCCCTCAAAGGGTTATGATTTGCCATCATAAATTTCATTAAAAAAACAAGACATCCAAGGCTATGAGGTCCACTTTCCAATGAGGAACACGGAAATGCGTTTCGAGCAACAGCAGCAGTGCTGAAATATACAGCTTTCTAAAGTGGTCACTTTGAAAGGAAAAACATGCAATTGTATGTAATTGATTTTGCTAAGTTTGTTGATAAGCCATGCTACTACTATTCACACTTTGTAAAACTGATAACAATCACAGTACTGAAACGTTTTTCATCCCAAAAGAACACACCCAAATTTTGGGGAATAAGAAAATAAATCATTTCTATAAGATGAAATATAGATTTTATAATCACTGCCCCCCCCCAACCAAATGTAATTAAATTATCAAACATACCTTTGTGCTATATTCCTGCCAAGGCCCCATTTCTGCTCTGAATCCTTCAGAGATTGAGTGAGGGTAGAAATCAAGTGGATGACAACCTGCTGGTCCAATGTTGCTACTGTTTCTAAAATGCTGTAAACCTGATAATAGTACCTCATACCATAATCCTGGATAAACTGCCTGAAAATAAAACAGGTATATTTAGGATTACTCCTGGGGCAATTCCTTGTGCTGGTATCTACATGACAATCAACTATGAACTGAACATAACAAAGATCATTTCATATAAGATTATTGTAACAATCTGGATGCAGTATGAGAACTATTTAAAACACTTTAAAATAAAGAATTGAACTGGCTTCTTTAAGTTGAGCCACGACCAGAGTGAAAGCACTGTGGGAGGAGCGGCGAAGGGAAGAGTTGAGAAAAAGGGGTAAAAATCTAATCCCAGGACTTTTTTGCAATATTCTACACAGAGAAATCTGAGTGGAAAGGATATGGGAGACAGTAAAAGAAAAAAGTCAGATTTCCTAGTTACTTTTTAGTTCTTTGTAGCTCTACATAAATCAAACAATATTTTTATGAGGAAAGCAAGTTACTCCTAATATATTTTTATGTTCCTTAACTGAACAAAAGACTTTAGACTCATAGAAGGTCTTTATAAATAAAAATTCTATGTTTTAGCCTTAAAACCTCTACCCTCCACTACCAATCAACAAAATAAAAGCCACCTAGCTTAGTAAATTATAGAAAACATTCAATCTTTGATCATATAAAATCCTTTTCTCCCCTCCTAGGGCTTCACAATTTTCACAAATCACTGTTACTGAGTGATCACAATTTAAATAAACTATAAACACTTGACAGGCACTAATTATGTGATGAGAAAAATGGAGGTACCAAAGACCAACATAGAATGAAGGAAACGAACACAAATTATTTATCATGGTAGTGGTAGGACAGACATAGGAATAATAAAGGTAAACTGGTAGAAATCTTCAGAAAGAAATACAAAAACATACTGCCCTAATAGCACAAGACTCTAAAGGGAACAAGAGAGGGAAGAAAAAGGAAATATGCCTCAAGTTGCACTGTTATTCTTATGAACAATAGATCTACTTCTATAAAGTCCATGCTTCACAAACTAAACATAACAGAGCTTTCTGGAGCTACTCTTAGTATCTTAAAGCAAGTCAGAAAAGCAGTGACATGTACTTCTACAATCCTGAGGAACATGTTTGGCAAGGTCTGACGGCCTGTGTACTCGTCATCACGACTCACATTTCCCACTTTACCCTCTCAAACCCAGTCTAGGGCCAGGTAATGACATTTCAGTCAGTGACAGATAGCATATACAATGGTGGTTCAGTATAAGAAGATTAAAATACTGCATTTTTACTCTACCTTTTATGTTTGGATACATTTAGATACACAAATATTTACTACTGTGTTACAACTGCCTACAGTATTCAGTGCAGTGACACGTTATACTGATCTGTAGTCTAGGACCATTAGGCCATACCATATAGTCTAGGTGCATAGTGGGCTAAGACACACTAGGTTTGTTGTATAAGTACACTCTATTTGAGGGTCACACAGTGATGAAATTGGCTAACTATACATTTCTCAGAACTTATCCCTATCATTAAGAGACACATGACTGTTCATGCAAGATTCTTTCTTACTAAATTCACAGGTAATTTTAAGTCCCTTCACTTATCTTTTTCACTGGCACTTTTATTTTTCAATAAAACATCACAATGTAACAAAACTACTGCCACAAATACAATAATTGAAATACTATAAACAAGTAGTAACACATTATGTTTTGGATAATTAGTTATTTAAAAAACATGTTGGCTGTCAAATGGCTGGCAATAGTCTCCTTGCCAGTTGGCATATTTTCCAGTTACCTAAACACAGAAGTCAGCTGGGCGGAAGGTTCTTCTTCTGACCCCACTTGGCAGGCTTTTACCATGTATTGCAGGTTCTCTGTGGCCAGCCTTTTAACTAGAAGGAAAAATTATAGCATTACGCACTGTGTCTGAATTGACCATCTGGATCCTCAATTTTATGAACGCTCTTGATTTAGAAAAATATGTTGTTTTCTTAAAGTATGTACATCCTTTTTCTATTTTTCAAAATGAAATAGTTCTAAGTTTTTATTTTATTCTAAAGTATACCTATCTTCCATTTTAAGAAAATATAAAAGTTTAAAAGTTTTTTTAAATCTATTTTTCTCTTAGAAAGGTGCCCATATTCAAAAACATTACACCATCCTAATCCTACAAACAGTAACATACCGACAAAAGAACGCCTTTAAAAATTCAGCTGATTTACAGACAAGCAGATTGATTTTTTAAAAATTCATAAGCATATTCCTCCCACCCCCTCACAAACGTATAAGTAGCAAACTAGATACCATGAACAATTTCTTTTTACTTAAAATTAGTCAAATGTGTATGCAAAAATGTTGTTTGTGATGCTATCTTCCTTTCAAAGGATAACAAAGCATAAAAAGAATACTTACATTCTTTAAATATTTAACCAAATCCTTTAAAATTGTGTGCTTGTACACAAAAATAATGCAAAAATACCAAGAAAGGATGTCGAAAACCCAATATGCTCTGAATGCTACTAAATTCTTATGTTGTTTTTGACACATTAAATATAAGAAACCAGAGAAAAAAGTGCTTTTTCCAAGAATAAAAAAATGTTCAGAAACTGTAACCCATTATAGCAGGAACACAAAATATATGATGAACATCAACTTAATTAATATTAGGTAGTAGAGAATGTTTTCCATGCGATGAGGCTAGTGGCTAAGGAACATACAGCATCCTTGCCTTTTACTTGAAAACTTTTTACAACTTTTTAAAATAACTTCTCATTTTAGATGCAGTTTATTTTTGCTTTAACTGAACTACCTTTAAAAAAAAAATGAGTATTTTTTTTTTCTTTTTTTTTTTTTTTAAAGAAATAGAGTCTTGCTCTATCATCCCAGCTAGAGAAGTGGTGTGATAATAGCTCACTCTAACTTCCATCTCCTGGGCTCAAGCAATCCTCCCACCTCAGCCTCTCAAGTAGCTAGGACTACAGGTGCGTGCCACCACTCCTGGCTATTTTTTTTTAAAAAGCTTTTTGTAGAGATGGAGTCTTGATATGTTGCCCAAGCTGGCCTTGAACTCCTAGTCTCAAGTGATCCTCCCACCTTGGCCTCCCAAAGCACTGGGATTACATGTGTGAGCCACACCTGGCCTTTTTATTTGTTAAAAGAAGAGCTTTATTATCATATAATTCACATACTATACAATTTACCCATTTAAAGTATACTGTTCGATGGTTTTTAGTATATTCAGACTTGTACAACCATCATCACAATTTTATACTATTTTCAATATCTTGAAATTCCATACTCTTTAGCTATCCTGAGTCCTTCTAAGCAATCACTAACCTACTTTCTGTCTCTACAGACCTTTTTTTTTTTTAACTTTTTTTTTTTTTTTGTGACGGACTTTCCTTCTGTTGCCCAGACTGGAGTGCGATGCCACAACCTCAGCTCACTGCAACCTCTGCCTCCCGGGTTCAAGCAATTCTCCTACCTCAGCCTCCCGAGTAACTGGGATTAAAAGCGCATGCCACCATGTACGACTAATTTTGTATTTTTAGAAGAGATGTGGTTTCACCATATTGGCAAGGCAGATCTCGAACTCCTGACCTCAAGTGATCCACCCACCTCAGCCTCCCAAAGTGCTGGAATTACAGACATGAGCCACCATGCCCAGCCCCGTCTCCATAGATTTAACTATTCTGGATATTTCATATAAATGAAATAATATATGACTTTTGTGACTGGCTTCTTTCACTTAGAATGATGTTTTCAATATTCATCAATGTTATAGCATGTTTCAATATTTCATGCTTTTTTATAGCCAAACAATATTCCATTGTATAAATGTATCAAAATTTTTAAATTGATCCATCAAATCATAAATATTCTACTTTTTGGCTATAATAAACAGTACTGCTATAAAAATTAATTTACAAGTTTCTGTGTGGACTTATGTGTTCACTTATCTTAAATATATACGTATTTCTAGGGGTGAAATTGCTGGGTCATACAGTAACTCCATGCTTAACCACTTGAGGAACTACCGGACTATTATCCAAAGTAGCAACATGATTTTACATTTCCAGGGGCATTAAATGAGAGTTCCAATTTCTCCACATTGTCCTCAATCTTTTTCATTGTCTGATTTCCTCATTATAGCCAACCTTGTGGGTATGAAGTGATATCTCAGTGTAGTTTTGATATGCATTTCCCTAGTGACTAATGATGTTGAACACCTTTTCTGGTGCTTATTAGTCATTTGTTTATTTTCTTTGTAGAAATGTCTATTCAGATTCATTGCCAATTTTTAAATTCAGTTATTTGTTACTTATTCTTAAGAGTTCTTTATATATTACAGATGCACACTCCTTATCATCACATACAATTTACAAGTATTTTTTCCCATTTTGTGGGTTGTCTTTTCACTTTCTTAATAGTGTCCTTTGAAACACAAAAGATCCTAATGTTTGATTAAGTCCAATTTATCTCTTTCTTCTTTTGTGGTTCATGCTTTCAGTGTCATAGCTAAGAATCCATTGCCAAATCCAAGGTCATGAAGATTTTACTCCTATATTTTCTTCTATGACTTTTACAATTTTAGCTCTGACACTAAGGTCTATGATTCACTTTAGGTTAGTTTTCGTATGTGGTATGAAACAAGGGTCGAACTTCATTCTTTTGCATGTGGCTATCTATTTGACCTAGCAAAATTTGTTGAAAAGACTACTTTTCCTCTATTAAATTGTCTTGGCACTCTTGTCAACAAACAAAAAAACCCCAATTGACCATAAACATGAGTTTATCTCTGAACGCTCAATTCTATTCTATTGACCTACATATCTATCTTTATGCCACTATCACATTGTCTTGATTACTGTTGCCTTGTAACATGTTTTAAAATCGAGAAGTATGCGTTTTCCAGCTTTCCTCTTCTTTTGCCAAGATTGATTTGGCTATTCTGGGTCCCCTGTAATTCCACATAAATTAGTAATTCTTATGGAGCTATTAGTATAGTCACTTAAGCTTTCTGTGGTTGCTGTTTGCATAACTATCTTTTCCCATCTTTTTACTTTCAATCTGTTTATATCTGTGAATCTATACTGTTTCCTGTAAATACCATATAGGTAGATCTTGTTTTTTTAAAAAATCCACTGTGATCATCTCTGCCTTTTCATTGGACTGGTCAATCCTTTCACACAGTATTATTTTTGATATAGTTTGATTTACATCAGCATTCTTACTTTTTGTTTTCTTAATGACTCATGTGTTTGTTTCTTTACTGTTTTCTTATTGCGTTAAGTGAATTTTTTTTAATGTAGCCTTTCAAATCTTTAATGATTTTAAAATTATTATTATTATACTTTAAGTTCTGGGGTACATGTGCACAATGTGCAGGTTTGTTACATATGTATACATATGCTAAGTTGGTTTGCTGAACCCATTAACTTGTCATTTACATTAGGTATATCTCCTAATGCTCTCCCTCCCCCAGTCCACCACCTCCCGACAGGCCCCGGTGTGTGATGTTTCCCTCCCTGTGTCCATGTGTACTCACTGTTCAACTCCCACTTGTGAGTGAGAACATGTGGTGTTTTTCTCTTCTTGTGTTAGTTTGCTGAGAATGATGGTTTCCAGTTTCATCCGTGTCCCTGCAAAGGACATGAACTCATCCTCTTTTATGGCTGCATAGTATTCCACAGTGTATATGTGTCACATTTTCTTTATTCAGTCTATCATTGATGGGCATTTGGGTTGGTTCCAAGACTTTGCTGTTGTGAACAGTGCTGCAACAAACATATGTGTGTATGTGTCTTTTTAGTAGAATCATTTATAATCCTTTGGGTATATACCTAGCAATGAGATTGTTGGGTCAAATGGTATTTCTAGTTCTAGATCCTTGAGGAGTCACCACACTGTCTTCCACAACGGTTGACCTAATTTACACTCCCACCGACAGTGTAAAAGCGTTCCTATTTCTCCACATCCTCTCCAGCATCTGTTGTTTCCTGACTTTTTAATGATCGCCATTCTAACTGGTGTGAGATGGTATCTCATTGTGGTTTTGATTTGCATTTCTCTAATGAACAGTGATAATATTTTTTCCTTAAGTTTGTTGGCTACATAAATGTCTTCTTTTGAGAAGTGTCTGTTCATATCCTTCGCCCATTTTTTGACAGGTTGTTTTTTTCTTGTAAATTTGTTTAAGTTCTTCGTAGATTCTGGATATTAGCCCTTTGTCAGATGGATAGATTACAAAAATTTTCTCCCATTTTGTAGGTTGCCTGTTCACTCTGCTGATAGTTTCTTTTGCTATGCAGAAGCTCTTTAGTTTAATTAGATCCCATTTATATATTTTGGCTTTTGTTGCCATTGCTTTTGGTGTTTTAGTCATGAAGTCTTTGCCCATCCCCACGTCCTGAATGATATTGCCTAGATTTTACTGTAGGGTTTTTATGGTTTTAGGTCTTATGTTTAAGTCTTTAATCCATCTTGAGTTAATTTTTGTATAAGGTGTAAGGAAGGAATCCAGTTTCAGTTTTCTGAATATGGTTAGCCAGTTTTCCCAGCACCATTTATAAAATAGGGAATCCTTTTCTCATTGTTTCTTTCTGTCAGGTCTATCAAAGATCAGATGGTTGTAGATGTGTGATGTTATTTCTGAGGCCTCTGTTCTGTTCCATTGGTCTATGTATCTATTTTGGAAGCAGTACCATGCTGTTTTGGTTACTGTAGCCTTGTAGCATTGTTTGAAGTTAGGTAGCATGATGCCTCCTGCTTTGTTCTTTTTGGTTAGGATTATCTCAGCGATGCGCACATTTTTTTGGTTCCATATGAAATTTAAAATAGTTTTTTTTCCAATTCTGTGAAGAAAGTCAGTGGTAGCTTGATGGGAATAGCA